CGGTCGAATTCAATTGATCATTTATCATTTCCAATCACGTAGTGGCCATAGACAGTAACACTCTTATGACGAGAACCATGGACCATGGACCACGGACCACGGAGCACAGACCACAGACCACGCGGGTACGCGGCAGCGGTGTCGGATAGAGTTGGTGGATGATAAGTGGATGAACCATGAGCCATAAACCATGAACCATGAACCATTTAACATTAACCTAAGTACGAGTATGAGTCACAATATGAATAGCTTTCGAAATAAGGTGCATTAGTAACTCAGCTTGATAAATCATATACATACATATATATATATATATATATAGCATTATAACCAATAACTTTGCAATACAACAACATACAAAATACCAACAAACAAAGTACCAAATAAGTTAGTGAACAAAAAAACTGCTCAAGATTCGGAACAAATAAAAACAAACAAACCAACTCGAAATCGAAACTGAAACCGAAACCGAAACAAAATGATAAATGGATTATAAATAAGCACAAAATCGTATTGTACCACACATGAACACAGAAAACGCTTTGTTGGCTAGTCCCCAAGGAGTAGATATGGATAGGAGATGGATGGATGGATAGGAGATCGCTAGAGGATGGAGATGGTAGGAAGAGTACCAAAGTATCCTGAAGTATCGAACATTTGCTCCTGTTGTGCATTTCCTTGTTTGTTGCTCTGTTTGTTATAGAAAGAAAAGTAAGAAAAACCACAAAAAATGTTGAACGAGTAAAGCATGTTGGAGGATAGGAATGTTACGAAGGATGGGATGATGGGTGGTGATGAAGGATGGGTAGTGTGAGAAAGAAAATGATACGAAAACCTATGGGCTGACGGAAAGGTAACTAAAAATAGTGTATGTTATACAGTATATTATTATTGCTATTATTATTATTATTACTGCGCATCATGATAAGTCGATCCGATCTATTAAACCCGATCTATTAAAAACTAATTATACAACACGACAACCACTGCAACAGCAACAGCAACCAGAACAACTCGAACAACCCGAGCATGCAATGAGATATAAAGACAGACAAAAGAGCGGAGTTTTTACCGACGAGGATTATTCTAATGATAACGATAATGATCATTGATGATGATGCTAATGATAACTATTATTAAAAAAACAACAACAAAAACAGTAAAAAAAAAACCAAAAAATCACCAACCAAAAAAATGTATTTATTTATTTTAATTTATATATACACTAGAGAGTTATTACAAATATATATATACATATATATATACTATAATGTATAAGGAGAACGAAGAAAAAAAGCTATGAAAATTGAGTTTTGCAATTGGGGGGGTGTGGGGGTGGTGAAGGAAACGCTAAGTTTCCTATCGGAAATCCAAAAAACAAAGGGTCCTCCATTTAGTAAAAGACTGCTGTCCCCCAGAGGACATTCAACATAAATTGTGGTACGGCCATGTTCAGATGATTTATGGAGTTTGAGAACGCATTCGACTGTCGTTTTACTACCACAAAATGATGTCCTATGGCACATGTTAGCAAAGCGGTCATAAAACTTGAGCAAACAGGAACAGGACAGGCATTATGCAAACAGACGCGGGCCGAGTATAGGTGTATTTCTGTGGAACATTCGCCCAAACGGCCTGTGGCTCTAACCCCTGACAATTAAGACATAGTCCAGGGGTTAACATCTTCATAACACGCGCGATAGGTAGCAGCAGCAGCAGCAGTCCAACGAACATGCCACCAACAGTTTTTGGGCTAGAGAAAGAGCAGACCCAACAAATTACCCTGAAATTTTCACCGATTAAAGACAGTGAGAGAGTTGGATCTTTGGGCAGCCAGCCCTTCGATGGTATCTTTGGATGATATCTTAGTGGAGGAGCAGCACATAAATCTGCCAGCAAAATGGGAAGACCCCGAGAGACAGACAGACGTAAAGACGGAGAAAGAGAAATACCCAAGACCCAACGACAGGTTGCAGCTCAATAAAGATCCAAATAAATATTATATCGCTGGTCTATGGATCGAACAAAGAAAGAAATGAAAAGGATGAGTTCATTTAGGGTTCGCGGTGCAGGTAGTCTTCTTGCGGTAGTCTTCTTGGCGGTGGCGGTGCCCCAGGCCCAAGGCCCGATGCCCGATGCCCGAGGTTCAACCTGTTCCGATCCAACAATGGGCAACAAGAGGGCAAAACCCTACTGCCAGAGGCGGTCGAAATCAAATGGTCAAGGCTTTGTAAACGGGTGACATTTGAAAATTATGGCATGTAAATGGAAGGCATTCCGGGAAAGGCTGAAGCGTTGACAGCTTGAACTGTCTTTCTTTTTCTTTTGCTCTGAGGTTAAGGATTGTGGTATGGGGCTACTGTTAATCAATTTAGTGCCTCTTGGATCGAGTTATTTTAGGGGCAGATGTGGCCAAGGATAAGTGAAAGGCTGCGCATCGATGTGGCTGTTAGATGTTAGATAAAATCGAAAGAATCTATTACTAGTTCTTATAGATGCTGTGGCTCTATCGTTGAAACTTTGGTTGTAACCTCTCAGTATCTCAAGATGTGGAGAACCACAACTTGCTCCACTTTATCTTCTCTCAAAGCTGTCCCCAAGTATATCATCTACATAGCATATCTCTGCATTCTACTACATATGTACTATATATATATATCTGCACGATCAAACAATTTGGCACTACTCTATCGAAAATCTAGGCATTTGTATCCCCAGATAAGCCTGCACTATATTATTTATTTGTCTATCTTTTGCATCATATTTTCTGTGAGGGGCCACCACGGGGCGTATGCGTGTTAAAGCTTTGAGCTGCTGTCAAGCTTTCCTCTCGTTTGATATACGAGCATGCATGCGAGGGGCCAGGCCATTAAAGTGCCGCCTTTGTAATGCGGAAACATCAAAGTGCATTCACTCACAGACACACACAAGAGCAAACATTTGCATACACATACACACACACAGATGCACAGATGCACCCATACAAACCCGACGAAAAGCCATAAAAATCACTTTGTAGCCAGGAAAGAGGGAGCACTCACGAGGACGTGGAAACGAAAGGGAGCCTGCCCCATGGAGGCGGCGCATCAGCGCAAACTATGCAACAACAACACCAGCCACAGGAAAAAGTGCAATGCAATCAATTCAAAGGAGTGAAAGGGGACTGGGGTGTGGGAGAAGGAGAAGGAGGAGTGGCAGAAGCAGAGGCAGAGGCTGAGAGAACTGCCAACAGACGGCAGCATTTAATCCTGCAAAAAAGGCATTGCGAGGCAGCATAAAATGATGTTAATCCTTAAATAACGTGAGCAGAGCGAAAAAAAGGAGATGGAGAAGGAGAATCGTGATGCAGATGGAGAGCAGGGGAAATGGAGTGGTTGTGGGAGGAGATGCTGGCTGAAGTCGACAGCAAAATGCCAATTGAATGCCAAGCGGCTTTAAAAGGCATCACACTCCAAAAGAGAATCGAGTACAGAGCAAAAGATGCTGAAAAATATTTCTGGTCACAGACTGAGCATCTTGGCAGATCGAGCCTAACCAATGGGCCATCAGGTTAACTGATGGAACAGCTTCAAGATAACAATGCTTTTAGGGATTAAAGTTCCAGACTGATCTCTGAGGGTCATATGATTTTCGGAATCTATCGAATCGATTGGTATCCTTGTACGTAGTTTCGATCTTCTTCGATTTAAAATTGACTAAGAATTATAATTTTTGGAATTGGGAGATGATACATAAAATTTAAAGCAGACTTTTTGATTTCCCAAGCTTTGAAGTGGGGGAAATTAATGTATGTTCAGCAATAGAACATAGGAATTGTAACTCTTAACTGATATTCTTCTCCATCTATCAGATTTCTAACATATCTATCCACTATCCCCTGCCCTCAAACTTTCCCACCTTCCAATGTTACCCAAATTAAATTTCCCACAACTTAAATGTTCTCCATGCAGGAAGCTCTACTCCACTATCATATCTCTGGCATTCCATTAAATGAAAAAATACTCAAAAAAACGAATAAAGTATCCAACAACATCCACAACTGTCAACTGGCATGGCAGCCGCCGCCTCTCCGTCAAGCGGTTTGACCCCAAAAAAGTCAAGTGCGGCCGCGTCCGAGTTCCGCTCTCCGTCCGTCCATCCATTGAGACAGAGTGTGGCAACAGCAAAAGCAACAACCACCCATCCAATGGCACCGGCACGCGCCGGCGCACTCAATTGGCCGTGCAGTGGTGCTCTGGTGGTGCGGTGCGAGAGCCATTCGAATCCACTCAAAATGGGGGACGACAAGCGGAAACTCGTTTCGAAAGGGGGCGTTGCCCGTCGAGCCAGAGGCAGTCATGGCAACCAATCACCATCAACTCCGAGACGACAGCTGTGGCTCGAGAACCAGTTGAGCGGGTTTTCGAGTCAAAATTCGGAGTTGGTGCTGCAGTGGTGGTGGTGTTGGTGGTGGTGCTGGTGTTGTGCCCTGTATGTGAATGTGTGCGTGCTTGTGGTGGTGGTGTTTGCAGTATGCTATGGGCATATGGAAACCGGGCGTCATCGTCACCGTCGTCGTCGTCGTCGTCACAGACATCACAGATCCAATGCTGCCGTCAGATCCGAGAGGCTAGAGCACCGGCAGTTTACGCAGTGGCCTCGAAGCTGTAACAACGTCGCGTCCGCTCCGCTCCGATCCGATCCGCTCTGAAAACGTATTCTTGGTTCTGGTTCTGGTTGTGGCTCTTTCGTCTGAGCCACGATTGCCGTCGTTCTTGGCCCAAACGTGTTATCACGACACGCGTACGCGTCGCTCTTGATAAGGGTCCCACAGTACGAAAATCCGCAACTTCTCTACCATCCATACAGCCGACGGCAGAGTGAACTATTATCGAATGTGCTAATCAAATGAAAATGTTGCAAACGCTCGCAAATTGATCCATCGGAAACATCGGTTTTTTTTTATAGCAGCGGCATATTATATAAGAATTATTTTATGAAGTCAGTGACAACTGTTGGACGCTTGACAAACCCTGATCAAGTCGTCCTAAGATCTACTCTATAAGATCTGAACTCCGCACTCTAAGGTCCAGTTCGACTAAAGCTGGCTAAAGAATTTTGTGCAAAAGACTTGGATTAAAAACCGCCAAAATTGTGGAGGCAATTAAAATGAAGGTGAGTTGGGAAGGACGATGTGTGATCCTACAGATAACAGAAGATGGAAAATCCTATAGGATATATTTTTGAAATATGTATAACTGATGGAAATCATAATTTCTTTAAGACTTTGAGACCAGAATATTACAAGATATAGTACTTTCATATTGATTGAAAAGGAAACGTTTTAAACTTTTGAAAATAGTTGGAAACTATATATTTAAGATACATTTCGTCTAAATATTACTAAAAATAGTTTGCTTATGCCATACGGAAGGTTAATCACGGCTTGATACCTTATCTTAGTGATAGAAAACTATCCTTAACTTGTGTTAGAGCATATCAATCTCTCACTTCAAATTATAATGAGAGATCTCACACGTAAATCCACACATCTGTACATATTCCTTCCATATTCCACCCGCACAATCCATAGCTTATGATTTTGCTTTCCTTTTTAATTGGTGCACATGTAAGACAACTCTCAGTGACCCATAAAATGGGTTTGTTGTATAGATTGTTAGCCCGCTGAGAGCATTTGAGCCGGAAAACGCAACAGGCGGCGTCAGGCCGCCAACCATTAGATATGGAAGTGAGTGTGTGTGTGTGGGGGAGCGTTAAGACAATGATTTTCGACTCGAAACCCAGATACAGATACAGATACAGATACTGACACAGATTGAGATTCAGATTCCGATCGAGATCCAATTCAATTTCAAAACCAAAGCGATCTGATCTCACTAATAGCCGCTGGAAAACGATGAGTTTCCAAAACACAGACGACAGACAGACCAAAAACCACATCGGATCGCGGTGAATATGAAAAGCACACAGATCGCACAGTGGGGGTGCATATCGGAGGAACGACGGATCCCATCACACACCCCACACTTTGAGTGAAACAAAAAGTTTTCGGCTGTGAAACGAGGCTCATCTGAGGTTCGATCTACGAGCAGTACTCGTATCTGCAGTGGATGCCAAACCCGAACCGCAACCAAAGCCCCAATCCCAGCCCCAGCCCCAGTCCCAGCACCAGCCACACACAAAAAGTGATATTCAGTTGAACATTAGCTAAACATTTTCTCTCGATGTTGCATTGATCGTGTCGCCTGGATGATGTTGCTCAATTCAATGTTCATTCAACAAAAAAGATTTCATTTTTATCCGGTTCTTTTTTTCCTACTCTTGGGCTTAAACGTTTAATCGATTTTTGCACCCGCTGTGAGAGCTTTTTTTTTGTGTGAACCACCCACAGGATTTGTATATTTTTTCGGGTTGTACGTATACGAACCCCAATACGAGTATTTTGCCATGAGTCTGCAGAGAATTGATCATGATTTATGCTCGGCGATGATCGATTTGCCATGGCTTTGTTCGACGAATGTAATTTTCATTACCATAGCAAATTGGACAAGGTGCTGACGCTTATTGCTCTGCCCCCACTGGACCGAAAGTGTTATAGATTCTCGGGCGAAACTCTTCGATCTGATCTGATTGGAGAGTATCCGATAACTGTCAGTGTGAGAACAGCGGGAGATCTAAGTCGGAGCCGCTTACAACCAAAAAATCTAGGGCTTAGACCCCGAAAATCAAATGTCAACAGTTCTAAGCCGCTGGCTTCGGTCAAAAACAACAACAACAACAACAACATTAACAATGGGGCGATTCTGTTGCCCAAGACCTTTTCTTGACATCATCGATCTTGACCCCGCCCCAGTTGTTCGGCTCTTTCGGCTGCTACTCTCATTCCAATCCCCATCCCCATCTCCATCCCAATCTCAATCCCAAATACAAATCCGAAAATGACGCCACTAGGCGCTTGCTTATGAATATTCAACAATGTATATGGGGTCTTTCTTCTGGCAGCTCTTAGGTAGTACGTATGGTCGGGAGAAAGAGATATAAAAAAGGCATAAATATTTAAGCGTTTAAATGTCGAATGCCTGCAAAGCCACTATAAAAAAACATACCTATACATATTTCAATAAATGATTTTTCATTAATAATTCACAAGAAAATTGAAAGAAGTGAAAAAAGAAAAAGAAAGAAACCCCCATAAATATTACAAAGTTTTGTGTAAAAACTTGTTGACGCCTTCCTCTCATATGGGATCCTCATCGAATGATCTGTGGCGGCGTGTTTTTCTTTTCTCTTCTGGAAAGAGTTGGAGATTTGAGTTGGGTTTTAGCCTTAGCTTAAGGGATTAGTGAAGGTTGTAACATTGATTTGTATTTATATAAATTGTGGTTTGGTATCGGCTTTAAATACGTAGTAGCAGGAATATATGGGTTCGGAGTGCTAAAAGGTAACAATTCTGTAAATTTTAATAGATTTTTGATTGAAATTCTTAAGTATAAGTGAAGGATATATTTAGAAACTCCAGATTCTCATAGTTGAATCCTTAAGAAGTCTTTAGTAAAGATTAAAAGTTAGTTTAGCCAATTTAGAATCATATTAGAGGTATAATATAAGTTGCAGATCTGTCTTTTAGAATATACAAATAACAATGATGGATAGAGCAGAGCTCTATCCTTAGGGAACATCCTTTCTTCTGCAATTATGTTATTAAGCGATTGAGGAAATCGTACAAAATATGATATGACCACAATCTACCCATGATAAACATGATAAATCTAAGCTAATTCCCAACTTCTCACCGACTTGCCATATCTGCAAACTACTGATTACCTTTGAATCTTGAACAAAACACCTTTTGGTAGATTACACGCCTAACTCTCGTATTGTCTGCCAAATCCCACACAAGAGTCCAGGCCCAAGCGCGTGCCAGTTGCATCTTGAAATGTGCTCTTGAAAGATGGAAAACAGCTGCTGGACCAGCGGTCAGCCAGAGACAGATTTTTCACCATACACTGATCATAATTGGCTTGACAATGCCCATATGCATCCAGTGTCCAGGGTTCAGTGTCCAATATCGGAATCTGTCTAATTGTCAGGGCGGCGTCGACGTCTGTATGGCGTGACAATGCTGACAAGAAGTCTACGCCTCGGACCTCTTCAGCCAGAACAATGGACAAGCCAAAATGCATCTTGACTTGAGCCAATTGCCCCGATCAGGGACAAAAGAGAAACAAATATCACACCTTTGTTTATGTCCCACGAACATCGTATAGAGACAATAGATCTCTCGAGAGGGCCTGCACAGATAAACATAGATTTTTTGGTCAGTTTTTGGTCCTCTTCTTGGCTTGGGCTTGGGTTTGGGTTTGGGCTTGGGTTGCGCATGCGAACTGCAATTTTCCCCGATCTATGTGGCATTCTCTAGGGAGAAACGTGTCAAAATCGCAGCAGCACTTTTAGCAGGTAAATGTGAAAAATCCCCTTCGAATGAAAATCAAATGCAGAAGGCAGGAGGGCAGCAAGGCAGGAAGGCAGAAAGGCACAAAACCGCACAAAAGAAACTGTCTTGAGGAGAGTCGAGTCGAGGAGTCGAGTCGAGTGTCTTCCATTGTTCGTTTGAGTGCATCCACAAAATAGTCCTTAAAGGACGCTTAGTTGGCTTACAAATGATGCATGGCCATGGGGCAGGGGCAGGGACATACGAAGCAAATAAAATTGTAAAATGCCACAAATCATTCGAACTCCTGTCTGCTGCTGGAACCCAACAAAAAAAAAAAAAAAAAAAAACAGAGAAAGACACAATCTACCCAAAACCCGCCCCTAAATTGTTTAGGGCTGTGTCATACAGGCCTCTGTCCTTCAACAACCCCCTGAGGAGCTTGTTATATTCTCCTGGTGCTGTTACTGGTCCTGGTCGTGGTCCTGGTCCTACTTCTGGTCCTCCTTCCGGTCCTAGTTCAGGCCCCATTTCCTGGCCTCGCCTAACAATCCGCAACGACAAACCAATCGATTTTGGCCCCCAAAAAATTACCAAAAACATCCATCGTTTGGCAAAATAAATGTTCTCTGGCCTGCTCCATCCGTGTGTGTCTGAAAATATTGTTATTTAATTGTTTGACAATTGCAAATTGGCCAATAGAGCAGCTCTCGGGGCAGCTCTTATCGATGGGTATCTGTGGAACAGTAGCCGGAATGAGTGGTAGTTCTGAAGGGAAGAGACTACCTCAGAACTAGTTTCGATAACGTTTGAAAAGCACCGCTAAAATCATTCAAAGTCACCTCTGTCCCATAGACCAAATAAATTATCAGTTAGAACTTTGGCGGTGGCCCACAAAAAAACCGCTTCAGACTTGATTTATTGCCCCACAAAAAAAGAGAGGAACAAACAAAATTTGCATTGGAGGCTGAGTGGCTGCGTGCGAGTCGAAATATGAAAATATTATTTGGTAATTTATGCAAAATGCAGATTTAGCTAATTAATTGTGGCCAATGCCCAATAAAAAGTAAGAAATCAAACACGAAATCCCCCTAAAAACTCTGCACAAAGATGAGCTGTAAAAGAGACAACTTCACAAATGAAAAACGAAATCAATAAAAAGCCAACTTATTGATGTTTAGTGGCTGTGACATGTTGACGAAGAGACAAAGGCATTACGGATTTTCGGTTTCGGATTCACTCAGACTCGGACTCGGACTCCGACCCTCAACAGACCCCGTCGAGACGACTTTATGATGAATGCCTTAAAAATGCGAAGAGAATTGGGCAAAAAAAAAAAAAGATGCAAAAAAAAGAGATACAAAACAAGAAAAACGCGTGTCGAAAACGTTTGAGATACTTGCGGTCGATTTATAAGCGATTTATTAGCACTCGTAGAGTGCCAGAGAGAAATAAACAGAGAGGGGGATTTTCTCTCTCCCTAGAAATTATTTGCACAACTGCCGTTTGATGATATTCCCATCTAAATTTATGCACACAATACAGCAAAAAGTTTATAAAAAATAGAAATAGAAAACAAAAGTTTGCGAACACATATAGTAATAAAAAAAAATGGCAATTGAAATGTTTGCTGTACTGCCAATAGCAGGCCGTAGGGTTCAAGTCCATTTAGGAAACCCAATTTTTATGCAAATCTTTAAGTGGAATTTATTGCTTAACAAAT